TGTATTCCCCTGCCTGGCAGTTTCCAGCTGCCCGTGCAGTGTATTCCAGCTGCCTCGGCAGTGTTTCCCGCTGCCTCGGCAGTGTTTCCAACGCCCGGCAGTGTATTCCAGCTGCCTTGTGCAGTGTATTCCAGCGCCTCGTGCAGTGTATTTCCGCTGCCTCCTGCGTTTATTGCAGCTGTCTACAACAATGAATATTCACTTCTTATTGTCTTTCCTGCACTACTTTTCTCTTACTTAAAATATTTCTCTAATCCTGACTAAATCCCCCCCCCTCCAAAAAATCATCCCTATATATTTTCATTGTTTAGGAATATCATATTATTTTTTAAAGTTTGTAGTGGAAGCACCATATTACCTCCTTCTGGATACCATTCTAATATTCTACTATTAGCTTTTGATGAGAACACTTTTATTCGGTTTTGTGTATCACTTGTTTTCATGATTTCATAGTATGATATTGTGCTTGATTTTAAATTAATTATTTTCTCTCATGTTTTTACACAGGAAGACCCTACAATATTCCAGTAATTAATTTTTACAATGGGCTAGAGAAGATAAATATGTAACATCTCAGTCACTAGTGAGGATGGTTGTGAAGCAGATAGACAGACTGAAGGCAAAATAAGTCGCCGGGTCCTGATGCGTTTTGTTTCAAGGGTTCTTAAGGAATGCAAAATGGAAATCTGTGAACCATTAACTAATATTTTTAATTTATCTCTTCAAACAGTGTGGTGTAGTGTCTTGATATGTGGAAGATGGCTAATGTAACTCCTATTTTTAAAAACAGGGGAGAAAGTCGTTACCATCCAAATTACCGCTCCAATAAGGCCTGACCTTCAATTTTAGGCAAAATTACTGTCAATTATGCTGAGATTCATAAGAAAGCCAACTCGATAGCCATAGCTTGATTAATGTACTCAGCATGGATTACAAGGGCGGTCTTGTCTAACTAATTTATTAACTTTCTTCAGTAAAGACTTTGAGGCTGTTGACCACAATAAGAATTTGAATTATTTACTTAGATTTTGTAAGGCTTTTGATTAGAGTTCCGCACCATAGACTGTTAAAGAAAGTGGCAGCTCATGCATTGGGGGAAAAGTGCTCTCGTGGATCAGAGTCATGGCTCATGACAGGAAGCATAGAGTGTCCATAAAATGGGGTAAATCCGAGTGGGGAAAATAATCTGTAACAAGTGGCGTTCCACAGGGATCAGTCTTGGGGCCCATTGTTGTTTATAAATTATATTCACTGATCTTGATGAGGAGAATTAATAGTGATATGAGGCAATTGCCGATGACACAAAGATAGGTAGGATAATTGATTCAAAAGTTGATGTTAGGGAAACTTCAGGAGGATTTAAACAAACTCAATCTTGGTCAGAAAAGTGGCAGAATGCAAGTTCAATGTAGATAAATGGCAAGGTTCTGAGCTTGGGAGTTCCATAACCCTTGTACTTATAAGTTAAATGATGTAGAACTTAGAGCATACAGGTTGCGAAAAGACTTGGGGGTATGGTGAGCAGCCAACCTTAAACCAAGACAGCAAGCCTAAGCGTACGTTAATAAGCGCAAATGATTACTGGGATTTTATATCAAGAAGTGTAAGCCAACAGAAGTCAGAGGTCTTACTGCAGCTTTTATACATCATTAGTATGGGCTTCACCTAGATTATGCGCTCAGTTCTGGTTCTCCGTATTTTACAAAAATGGACATAAATTCGTTAGAAACATTAGCGTAGGATGACTAATTAATACATAGCAGTAGATATCTTCTCCTTTTTAGAAAGTATTTAAGACTTTTGGTTACATTCATGTTAGACGAGAATAAGGGGGACCTGATGCGAAGTGTATAAGTGGAAGATAGGTATTAATAAAGGGATTTAATAAGGTCTTGAGGATGTCTCTCAAGATGAGAACTGCGTAAGGATTTAATTAGATTAGATTAAGTTTAGATTTGGAAGGACATAGGAAAGTATTGGTTTGGAAATAGGGTAGTTGTTGGTGGAAACAGTCTAACCTTAGTTGGGTTTATTGAGGCTGGGACTTTGGGTAGTTTCAAATTTAGGATGGATCAGTACAGTGAGTGGCGAGGGGTTTTGGATTTGAGTGGGGACTTTACAAAATTCAGAAGCCTTATTTCTGGGTGGCATTGGAAAATTGGTGGCAACTGTTTTGTTAGTGGATGAATTGTAAGGACCTGCCTAGTATGGGCCAGCAGGCCTCCTGCAGGTTCCTCCTTTCTATGTTCTTATGATTTCAGTTGGTATTGTCAGAATTCTTAATAGAATTTTTCTTATGCCATTTATGATCTTGCACTATGATTATTATGTCTGCATCTTTAGTATTTTTTGGAGGAGGTGAAAGCGTGAATCTATTGTAAAAAAAACCAAAATAATTGACTAATAACCCTAACTTCCCACACTTATCAAATCTTTGAGAGGATGCTAAGAAGCAAGGTTACCAATAGTATAGAATGCACAACAATTGCACCATCAAGGGCATAATTGACATAGAGGTTGCTCCTTGCCTAGTTCATTATGATGTGTCCTGGAAGTTCTGGAAGACAAGCTAATTGTTGATGTAGTGTACACTGATTTTGCACAGTGTTTAACAAATTGAAATGTGGAGTTTACCTGGAGAGAGGTCCGTGGGTTCACACCCCCGCGGCCAGGTCTGGACCAGGCCGCTGGTGGATTCCTTAGAAAAAAAGGGCCTGATCAACCAGGTGTTACTGCTGGCTGCACCATTCCAACATACGAGCACAGCCGGCTGGTTGGTACTGACTTTAGGTGCTTGTCAGTGGCCAGCTTGAAGACTGCCAGGGTCTATTGGTAATTCCCTTATGTATGCTCGGGAGACAGTTGAACCAGTTTCGGGGCCCCTGACACTTTACGGTATTGTCTCTTAACGTGCTAGTACACTGCTTTTCATTGGGGATGTATGCATTCGTCGGCCAAGTGTTTTACTTTCGTTTGTGAGTGATTTTCATGTGCAACTTGGTACTAGTCCCTCTTGGTTTTCCAGTGTATATAATCTTGTATCTCTACGCTGCGTTCCAGGGGAATACAGTTCTGGAACCTCAAGCGGCTCCAGTAATTGAGGTTTTTATCTCCGTTATGCGCGCCGGTACGGTTCTGTGTACATATTTCTAGGTCAGCATTTTCACTGCTTAGAAAGGTGCTGTTAGTGTGCAGCAATATTCCAGCCTAGATGAACAAAGTAACCTGAAGAGTGCATCATGGCTTGGCCATCCCTAGTTTGAAGGTTCTCAAATCCAATCGTCATTTTTTTTTTTTTCTTTCTGCAGTGCGATTTACACCCAATGTTATGGTCCTGAAGGTGAGCTAGTCGACATGATCACTCCCAGGTTCTTTGACGTTGGTTTTTCACTCTCTTTTGTGGCCGGAATTTGTTGTGTACTCTGATTGGAAGTTTAAATTTCCTCGTATTTACCATATCGGAGTAAATTGAAATTTCTCATCGTTGAACTTCATATTGTTTTCTGCACAGCCATTGAAATATTTGGTTTGATGTCTGCCTGGAGCCTTGCAGTGTCTGCAATGGAAGACACCGTCAGGCAGATTCGGATTATCTGCAAAGGAAGGACACGGTGCTTGTGGCTGACATCCTTGTCATGTCAGATATGAGGATGAGAAACAAGATGGGCGGGTACTGTGGACCTTGTGGAACTGAGCTTTTCACGTAGACGCCTGGACTTTCTCGTTATATTACTCTTTGTGTTCTGTGTGAGGAAAATTATGATCCTTACCAACTTTTCCTGTTATTCCTTTAGCACGCATTTTGTGCGCTATTACGCAATGGTCCACTTGTCGAAGGCTTTTGCAAAGCTGTTATATTACATCTGACATTCTTTTTGTCTTCTAGTGCATCTAGGACCTTGTTGTTGTGACCAATCGTTGAGACAGGACAGGAGTGACCTGTTTCTAAAAACCCATGTTGCCTGGGTTGAGTAACTGATGGGTTTCTAGATGGGCGGGCAATCTTGCCTTCTTAGGACCCTTTCAAAGAATTTTATGATATGGATTGGTAGTTCTATGCTATTGCTATACTGCCCCCTTTGTGGTGGTGGGGCTATGTCTGTTGATTTTAGTAAACTGTGGGACGACCCCGTGTCCATGCATCCCTCTCCATAGGATGGTAAAACGCTCTGTTAGGCTTGCAGTTCTTGATGACCAGAGTTCCACGAGTTGACCCGGGGGGCAGGAGTGCATGGGCTTGTCATTTAACGGGGTCAACTCATTTGGCGTCAGGATTAACAATCAGATAGGCTTGTGTTAACCAATACTGTGCTCTCTCATAAAAAATTACTTTTGATCTTCGACTCTCAGTTTGTTAGTGGTTTGCTAAATACCGAGGTCATATTGGACTTGAGTAGCTCTCATTTCCTTGATGTCATCTGTGTAGGACCCATCTTGTTTAAGTAGGGGCCCCCAACTGGATGCGTGATCTCTACTTTGTTTGGCATAGGAAAAAGAAATACTTTGGGTTTCTTTCTATTTCATTTATGGGCTTTAGTTCTTCCGCGGATTCCTGACTCCTATAAGATCCTTTAGCTTAAGATCGATGTTTGCTATTTCTCTGACCAGTGAATTCTATGCATTTCAGATATATTGGCCTCTTTTAGCTGCTCTGTTATTCTTTTTCGTCGCCTGTAAAGGTGGAGCGCTGTTCTTTATATTTTACATCTACTCCCCCTCTTTTTTTAAAGGATTAAGCCTTGACATACATCGGAGTGCCACTGAGATATCTGTTTTAGGCATAAGTTGGGGTCTGGTTGCTTAGTCTATCTTCCCATCTTATATTGGTTAGGACCTTGGTATACTTGGTCCCACTTTGTTCTTGTATGAGTTGAATTTGTGAAAGCTTCCTCGTGATTAATCTCTTATGTCGGTCTGGGGGGATTCCACGCATATCATTCTGACCCGATTTTGTGTGATCTGTAGTATATTGTTTTTGATATGGTGACTTTTCATATCAGATCATCATTGTTAGTGAAAGATGAGATGTTAGTGTATTCTCCAGTCTAGTAGGCTCTATTATTGCAGGTTTAAGTTGAATTTAGTGCAGAGATTAAAAGTTGGTGTGTGTGTGAGTTTTCGTCAGAGCTGCCTCCTGGTGTTATCACTACAACAAATATTATTTGCTATATTCCTCCATTTTAGGTGCCTTAAGTTGAAATCCCCTAGAGCAAGATGTTGGGGGCAGGTGCTGGCGATTTTTCCAGACAGTGGTCAATTTTTAACAGCTGTTCCTTAAATTGCTTGGGCCGTTGCATCATGGTGGCTTGTGACTACCACAATGACTAGGTTTTGTTCTCGATCTTACTGCTAAAACTTCCATTACATCATTTGAGGCATTAAGCAGTTCTGCTGCATACAAGTGACCTGCGATATACAGGCAACCCCCCCCCCCCTCCCCTTTTGCATGTTCACTGTCCATCTGTATAGGTTGTAAACCTGGGTTCAATATTCGTTGTCCAAGTGATCCTTGATGTGGGTCTCTGTGAAAGCCGCGAACAATGCATTTGCTCTGCAAGGAGTCCTGGATGAACAGGCTATTTTGTTGTTCGTTGCTGGGATTTAGACCTGTATATTTGCAAGGAAGAATTGTCATCGGAATGGTGGGTATTGGTGGTACTGGGGGGGACTTTTTTTCCGGCATTGGTATCTGTAATTCTGTTGGTTTGGAGTGGGAGGCCATCGGACTGTGGTTCCACTCAGGAATGACATGGATTTGGTGTATGAGTTCTGCCCTTTTCCTGCCAGTTTTTTTTCCTTACTGGCACTAAAAAAACTTCTACCTCTTGAGTGGGCTTGTGGCTACCCAGGTTTTCAATGGCATGGATGTTTTTGTATTTTTTTTGTCCCCTTAGATGTTGTGCCTGGCAATTAGTTATAGCACAGTCTTTTCCTTACTGAAGAAGGTCAACATCAGGGTGAAAAAGCTTCAGGAAGTGAGTGTGAATTTTCCTCCTGGTGTCATATGGCACGGCATTTGCTTTGGGTGGTCATAGTTGCATGTCCAATCTGTTTTTCCAGCATTTTCCCATGGCCTGAGATACCAAGTGCATAGCTATGTGCACAGGCTTGGCTTTCTGTTTGCCTTGGGTTTCTGTGACTGTATTCCTGTTAGTGATGTTTACCTGTCTCTTTCCTATCCTCACTAGCACTAACAATGGGGCTATACCAATTGTTTTGGTCATGTATCCTCACTATTGCTAGTGGAGTCCCTTGTTTGCTGTACTCCTGTGGTCATTACTAGTTTGTAATATTGGTTTTATCTTGTCCTTGACTTGTCCTTGACTTGTTTCCCCACTACAGTCCCTGTCTCCCTAGAGGTTCATTTTATGCATTCCCTCAAGTGTACATTTTACTGACTACCATGAGACATGCATTTCACCCTTACCATTACTGTTCTCCAGGGACAGCATTGTCAGCCCACATTTACTGACTACGGGGCAGTACCTCCAGCCTTACAGTTTCTAACTACATGGCCCGCACCAAGCGGTGTTACCATACAGCCCAGACTTTTTATTTTCCATCTGTTTAGAATGCTTCCAAGGTTTTCTATGAAGGCTGCTTTGATGTTATTCCTCTTTAATACTAATGTGATTTAGTCCACAGATTGATCTCATTTGGCATACCCAAAAACACTTCCTGATTAATACTGCCTTATAGGTAGTTCTTTGGATAACTGCACAAGGTGGCGTGACCAACCTATTTCCACAAATAAAAATGGCACTTTATCCATAGTGGAGGCCCGATTGTTTGATTGCTGCAGACTACACAGAGAGCTTCATAATGTGATTTGAATGGTTGATTTATGTAATTCTTCTAGTAACCTCTTGAATATTCTACTAATAGCCCCTTAAATGTGAGGCTCTATGCTACTTGTTCATGTATTTTATTTCTATCTACTTGTACATCATGGGACAGCTTAACCGGTGTAGTTCCTGCGTGATTATGCACAAGATGCTTGAATAAGGATTGCTGGAAAAGTGAGGAAAGTAGAACTAGAGAGTAGTAGTAAATCGAGGGAGATCTGAGGCTGACACAGTGAAAAGCGTTTGTTAAATAACAAAAGGCGCAAATACCGTGACTGGAACGATACAACAAATAACCCGACATAAAAGAGAGATGCTTACGACGACGTCAGTCCGACTTGGACCAGTGTGACTTGTCCAATGGTCCCAAGTCGGACGACGGTCGTCGCAAGCTTCTCTCTTTTATGTGCGGTTATTTGTGATAAAAGCTATGTTCCTTCTAGACCAGTAGTTGCCCCACTTTTGTTAAATTCTTGGTATTAATTGGACTAGGGCATTAATTCGTAGCACTGTAACACCCTTTGCTGATGATGCCTGTGGAGAAATTTTCTCCAGGAGGGGGGTATGAGCCCCCTTCAGCCCCTTTCAGCCCCTGAGAGGGCCCAGCCCTCTCAGAAGGGGCAAGCATCTTGTTTACTGCTACAGTGAGTAATTGATCGCAGATGCAGTACGAGTATGCGACGTGGTCAAGCGACCGCAGCTCCTTGCAGTCCAGTGTTGCAGAGTGTATTTTAATAAGAGACAGTACATCTCTTACCTTAGCAGGACAATTAAGGAAAATCCTGCTCCAACTTTATTACCTTAGTAAGATAGTGGACTTGTTGTCTATTGCTTAAGACAGCAAGATTTAACATTATGCTTTACTCTACGAGGAAGTGGCAAGTAAGCAAAAAGTATAGGTTCAGCTTTTCCTTTGTGCTGGGCGGCAGTGACGGCCGGGTGGGGCGTTGTGGGTCTTCAGATTACTTTTGACTCTACTGAGTGTGACACTGACGCCAGGATAACAGCAAAGAACACTGATTGTACGGTAGTGTGAACAAAGTGTCTCATAAAACACAATTAAACACTTAAGAGAAGTGTGATCGTTCTTTAGTTAATAAGATGTGAACAATAAAGAAAATCTTGGAGAACATAGTGTACCAGTGTGGTTTTTCCTAGACTATGGAAGACTGTTGGACATCCAAGGACAATTCAGCTTCTATCAAGTTCCACCGATATCTGTCGAAGGTGTGAAGACACATAGCTCACGCTACAAGAGCATGGTAGGTACGAATTTTCTTGTAGTTATGGGGGGACTGCGCAGTTCTTGAGTCGCAAGGAGTTTGTAATCAACTATAGTCGGCAGTAAGGGGGGACTTTTGAGTTCCACACAAGTAAGTTTGTCAGCCATCAGTGAATGAAATTGTGACATAACACCCCTAGGTGTAATTTTATAATCTTACAAATTATAACTCATTTAGCCTGTTGAGGAGATGATCATGACAATTAAGACCTCGTCTGCAGGGTGCGCTGTGTAGACGATTTGCTGTCTTTTACAGCTAAGTGTTCCCTATATTTAAATTTAAAATTAAGCTTAATGGTAATCCCATTTCCTCAAACATATGAATGTGCTCGACGGAATAAAGGCACCACTGTGGTCCAAGTATATTGTAACATACAGTGTACAAAATAACCTACGAGCAAGGTCTTCGAAAAAGCTGTAAAATAGTGTTTTACATATAAATCAGTATAAAGGAGTCCCTCCAGGACTCAATTCACAGAGAATGGGCAGCGAAAGAAAAACGGTCGCTCACCCAGTGTTCACCCAAAGAAAACGGGGGGCTGGGTGACTCACCAACAAGAAAACGGGGATGGTCCGGCATCCACTGCTCCAAACTCGAAGAAGCGGCTGACTAAGACAACAACAAACCCAACTGATGTCAGTTTGCCTGAGTTTTTATATAACATAGTGCTTATTAATGTTTATAACAGAAATCAAGAGAACAAGATTGTGTTAAAGTTTGTTTCTTTATAGATGTTCCTGTAATATTTAAGGAACTTAATATATAATGTGTAAGCTTTCAAATACGTACATATTAACAGTGACATTTATATATGTGTAAGTAATATTCACGTGTGATTTACAGTTATACAGTGACATTTATAGTGTAGAGTGAATGAAGTGTATAACATCGTTATTTACGATTAATCATCGTGGTCAGGCTGACACAGCAAACTCAAGCCATAAAACACAGCCATATGTACTCTGTACCCTTCATGGTCATTGACCCTGAGGTTAAGCTTAGTGGGTCAGTAGTGTCTGACTCGATTATTGCTGACTTAACCCTTTCAGGGTCCAAGGCCCAAATCTGAAGTGGTGCCCCAGTGTCCAAGAATTTTCAAAAAAAAAAAATTGTTATTTTTTCTTATGAAATGGTTTAGACGAACCTCCCTTTGTGAAGGTAATAACAAAAAAGTACGAAATTTGATGGAGGAAATTGACGATATTATGCTCTCGTGAATTTTGATGTGTCAGTGATATTTACGAATCGGCGATTTTGCCGATTTTGACTCCCATTTTAGGCCAATTACATTATTCCTGTCGACCAAATTCTTAGCTATTTTCATAGTATTAATTCTATCGATTGAGCACAGAAATCGCCATGTCAACCATTTCAACTACAAAATAAACGTGGTGACCGGAAATTGGTAATTGGCCAATTTAACACAAAGTTCAAATATTCCAATTTCAAAATAGGGTCCAGAGATAAACAATGGAGGTGTTCCTGGCACTAAACTAAACATTCCTCTGTTCATTAGTTATATTTTGAGGCTTGACAATAATTCCATTTGGAATTTTTATTAACATAATGAATTTTTATTCACACCCAAAAAATAGAAGATTTTACTGTTATGCATTAATTTGGTTTTTTTAAAAATAATTTTTAAAATTTTTGGTTTTTCAAATATCTCACCCATTTGTGAATGTTATTCGACCACCAGCTGGCGTGTATAAGACGTTTGTGAGGTCGTTTGTTTACTCTTGAACATTCGGCAAAAATTTAAACATTTCCGCACTTGAGGCTCAGTTTTCAAGCCATTTCCACTGCTAACCCCAATCACAAATTATCTCTATTTCTGTGATATGTCTTCCATTCTATCAAAGAGACAAGAAATCACAAATACAAACTATAAAATAC